GTTGCACCTCTATTTACTGCAATTCTACACCTCCCTGAAAATTAGGTTTCATAAGGAATTCAGGCAGGCAGGTTTTACTAGTTTTTGTTTTCATAATAAGCTAAAACTATGGAATCTTTTAACAAATGAGAAGTACCTGGCTTTAAAATAAAACTAAAGGCAGGCCTGTGCCTCCAGAAAGTTTTGCCACCACATGTAAAAACGGCAGCTGGGTTCCAAGCCTTTTTTTTTTATTTTATTCCTCATCTGTGTCCGCTGTTCGCATGAATGCCAGCCCGTCTCAACTGGCTGCATGGTAAAGCATGCAGTCCACACCTGCAGACCCTCACCTACCTTGGTCCCTCCCTCTGTGGTCAACCTTAGTTTTAACCAACAGCCTTAACTGTCTTCTACTGAGAAGAGAGTACAGGACACTGCCCAGAATGTGATCAGAATCCACAACATTTACCCTTTTTTCTTGTCATCTATATTCCCTTCTATGAACAGCACACAAGCCTTTTTGTATTTCCGCTTCACATTTTTAACCTGTTGAAAGGATAGGGTCTCATTAGCATCCTAATACTTGTAACATTTTCCAATCAATACTATATAGTACACCCCATACTTAAAGGAAGTTACACAAATATGAAAAATTAAGTTTAAAGTGCCAAGAATAGCAAGTTACCCCGATGGAGCGGTTCTGTTAGTGCACAAGGACCCATCCTCTTTCTTTTGTTTGTTGGGTATAACAACCCTAAGTCACAACACAAGCTATAAGGGCTCAGTAGTAATCCTCTGCTCCAATATAAACATATGTCAACCAACCATGTTTATTTTTTTACACGTTTTTGTCATAGGTAAATTTACTTCTATTATCTTTGAAATGATTTACTGGAAGATCTTTACCATTTCCAGCCATACACAAGTCAAGAAGGGCAAAAGACACTCAAGAACTCAGTAAGCTGCTCCTTATTAGACCCTTGCAATGGCACTCTAAGAAGGCAGCAAGCTGTTCTTACCACTGCTGGCCAATAAGGGTACCTTCGGAATTTGCACCAGACCAAAATCCCTTCTTCAATTGATTGTGGTTCTATGATGAAAAATAAAGTAATTTTTCTTTTAAAAAAACAAGACAAGACAGTTAGCTCACCCTCTCTTATCAGCCTCCTTTCAGGAGTTTCACCTCAATGCTTTTACAGGTGACAGGGTATCCCCTCCACCCCCCAAAATGCAGCACAGAACTCAGAAGTTTCAGTTCTAGGCCCTTGCCCAGTTTCACAATGATTTGCGTTTCATTCTGGTTCCAAAAGCCTTTCTGGGGCATCCAAGAGCTGCATTTTATTCCAAGCTCGAAGCAAGCTGGATTCACTCTCTAGAAAGGTTAGGTTTCATTACCAAGGCTTGTCAGCAAACTAGAAGCACGCATACCCTAAAAGAGCACATCAGTCTTGGGGGAAGAGGTCTCAATACAGGTACCCTGATGTCTCACCTTGATGTGATAAAATACTAGGAAGTTCTTCATCCTCATCCTCTTCATCTACCAGAGCTGAGAGGCGAGAGAAACTTTCTGAGGAAACTATCTTTGAAGACATGTCAGATGATTCCAGTCCTGCCAACAGCAGTGAGTACCAGTGTTCGTAAGTGTGGAATAGTGATTGTAAAAAAAAAAAAGCATCAGCTTAGACCAGGTGAAACACATGGCTGCGTAAGAGAGCCCACAGCAGCATGAGTCACCAAAACACAAGGGTCTGCCACACCACACGCACTCTCAGTTTTCTGCCTAGGTAAAAATCCTAATAATCTGAATAAAAGATGAAAAAGGGAAAGGAACAAGAACAGGCTGGTTTCAGGACTCTGTACCAGCCTGTTCCTTTACATAGTGTCATTTCATCTCAACACTGACCTGCACACTAACTAGACAGCAGTGAAGAAAAAACAAACCTACATGTGAAATTTGCAAGTATAAAGAGTAAGAATTACTGCTAAGTACAGTTTCCCAATGCAAAACCCCAAACAACTCCAGACCACCTAAGTACCATACCAGTTTTTAGCCAGTATCAAAGCAACTGCATTTGGTGTTTCTCCAAAACTTACACCAAAATTAAATCCAGCAATTTAAGAACCTCATTCACAAAAGCAGCACATCCCAAGATGAGTAACAGTGCTCAACAATCAAATGGGATGAAGTTTTCCCTTCCCCAAGAGATATGCCCACCTTCATCTTCTTCAAAGTCAGACAGCTGAAACTGCTTTACTTTATTCATAACCATGCATGAAGTATTCTTATCTTCCTCCTCTTTACGCTGAGAGGGGAAGCTATCCGGAAGCGTGTCCTTTTTAGACGGCCCAGATGAAGATCCAGGGCAATTCCTGCATTTCCTTTTTCTGTGCAAGGACACAGTTGCACCAGTCTCTTGCTCTCCAGTAATCTGTTTTGAACCCACTGGCTTTTTTCTGCTATCCAATTGCTTCACTAGACTTTCGCTCTCACTACTGATGCCTTTTTCCAAATCATCAGAGGCACTTTTACAGGAGGAATCCAGCAACATTCTTTTCGGTTGACCCCTGGCGTTAGCCCTTCTGACAGGTACCACTGTGTCAGGCTTGCAGGGGACAGAGCGAGACCCCTCCTCAGCAAGCGGCTGTGCTTCATCCTTGGGGACACCATTCCCACACCAGACAGGTGATCCTGCACCTCTGGATTTTCTTCCTCCTTGCTTACTTTTTTCCTCCTTCGGCTTAAGGGAGACTTTATTTCCTGTTTTGGACTCTGTCAACAATCTGGGCTTGATTTTTTTCGGTCTTACTAGTGTTTTTGATTCTGGTATTTTGCAGTTTTGACTACGTGAGTTTGATGTATCGCACAGGTCCCCAGTACCACATTTGGAAAGGTTCATTCCACTTTCACATGCTCTAGTGCTCTCCTCCAAAATCAAAGAAACTTTCTGGGTTTGGTTTTTTGTCTCCGTCTTCAGGCTGGGGTTATTTTTTTGGTCTCTCTTCCTCTTGGAAATCTCAGGCTCTGACTTTTCTTTAGAGTGAAAGAGCGATCGTCCCCTACGTAAGGGGGTAGAGGAGAGAGATCCTGTGTTGTTCTCCTGGGATAACCGAGTACTTGGTCCTTCTGAAGGTGGTACTTGTCTGGGTGAGGCATTTTGATGAAAAATATCCAGGGCAATTTTAAGAGAACGGCGGTATTTCAGTTCTTCCACAGCCTCACTCGAATTACTCCTTTGATCTGATGAAGAAGAACACACAATAAATGCAATAATCTTTATTTCTCATAGAAATAAGAAATTTTATTTATAACATCTCTTTTGTTTAAGATGCAACTTAAGACTTAAAACACCCATGATTCTTAAGGCAAAGAACAGAAACACAGAAATGCCTTATTTTGATGGAAGTACACACAAGTATCTTCACCATTCCTTCCAATGCACTACACAAGGGAAGAGCAAAAGTAGCTGTGATCACATTTAATCTATTTTCAAACTTTACAGATGAAAAAGAAAGAGGGGAAAAGAAATAACCCTCTCTCAATAAATACAGAGGTGAAATATATAACTATTGTCCACCACGTTGAGCTTCTGTGTATATTTTACATTCAGAATATATACAAGGCAGCAAGTCTTATGGCATCTCCTCACCTAAGTTAGAGACAATGTTTTCTATACACTCTTCCTTCAGTGGTACAGCATCCGCACAGTTCACGCTAATCCTGAAAATACAACAAAGCTGACAGAAAAATCTCACAGCATTAAACACTACTAACAGCACAACACTGCTTTCATCTGGCAACAGACTTGCGATTTTTTTTTTCCCCAGAAGCCATACTTGTTAGCAGAAGTTAAGGGGAACCCCCCCCCCCACTCAGCTAACAGGCAGAACTTTGTTTACAGATGTTCCACAAGACAACTACACAGCTAGCTCTAAAAAGGCAACGGGTTTGGGGGTTAGCCACCTGATACCTCTCTAAATCAATGATCTCATTTCACAGATACCTTCAGATAAAGGGATTACTTTTTTTGTTTTAACAGATCTAAGAGCACAAATATATAACAGTAGCAAGGATACTTAACTGTTTTTTCAAGCCAAGTATTTCAACTTTCAAAGAAGTATCCTTGGCATTAGTAACAGATGTTTCCCTAGCAACTCCAGTTTTGCACAAAACCTACATTAAAGAGAAAAACATGCATTTAAAATCCTTGACCAGGTCTGTTAGACTTTAGCACAGATCTGACATCAAAACATCTTTAATATGAACAGCACAGAATAGACCAATATTCCACAGCATCTGGTTGCATTATTAGGATCTCTACAGATTAGCACTTTTTAAAAATATGTGTGTTTACTTGGACCTCTCACTTACTACTCAGTTTCATCCATTTCTAAGCTACATCCACAACCCTTTCCTCATTTGTACACCCACTTTACCTTGGCTGGCCATAAACGCTTCTTCCACATGCAAAGAACATACTCTTGATCTGTCATGGCTATTTTCACGTAGAAAAGGAAAATTCCAGCATGCTCTGAAGAAAAGGGGAATGTAAGAGTTACCCAATGCTTGGTCCACTTTTGTCCTCCTTTTTTAAAAAAAGAATTATAGGAGTCAAATAGAACATGTATTATTACAGTTATGTACCATTTTACCTTCAATATGGCTGGATTAATATTTCTTTGCATGAATTCTCCAAAACTAATTAACTCTAACAGCATATCTTTCTATAGCTCTGCAACACAAAGATTTACTGAATATGTAAGTGTAGGAAAAACTGTCACAAATAAATAAAAAAATGCTGCCGCAGGCCTGCACATTCTGCAGTTCCCTACTACCAAATCCCAAAAACTGAGGTCACTTGTCACATCCAACAAATTACACCATACTGTGCCAATTTTTACACGTAGTTTATAAATACAATCTGAGCGAACCAAGTACAGAGCGTTTCTTAAAAACCTGAAGGCTCACTGTACCACCCACGAAGAAGAAAATCTTCCTGTACTTACACAGCCGAAGACCCCGGGCAAACCCTCGGCGCGCGGGGTCGCGGTCCTGCCACGGAAGGAGAGGAGGAAGCACGTTACCGCTGCGCTGAAGCGCCAGACCCCGCGGGCTCGGGGCAGGACACCAAGTCCGGCGCTACCGCGCGGTTTAGGGAAACTACGAAGCTCCAACG